AAACCTTACTTACTTCTACTTACATTAAAAACCTTAGTAATAGGTTACAATGATTAATTAACAATAAATATCATACTAACAATATTTGAAAGATCTAATAAACTTAATATGTTATTAAGAGATTCTGAGAAAAACAAATCTCTGGGTTAATAAATCACCGTGTAACTGCAGGAAACATTATATCGGTGAAAGAGGGAATACCTTCACTGAAAGAACAAGGACATGATAGATTATCGCGGATGAGCGTGAACTATACGTCATAACTAAGCATCCGGGAAAACAACAAGCCACATCCCCAGACAAATCAAGGAACAACGCGAAAGATCTTAGGACAGGAGACTCCTTCCCCCTCCAATGGTCAGACTGTATTAACATCATCAGAGACACTCTCTGAGCAGGCGCGTCAATGATGAATTATTTACCTAATTCTGCGATTGCCTCGATCAGTACAACGGATATAAACTCCGCGAATTCGGATGAAACGTGTCAACAGAAAACTACCTAATCGGCAGCGCGTACAAACGCTCGCCTTCAGGCACTGAACGTAAGAACAGCTGCGAACGACAAAAAGAACTTCCATCGTTAACTCAACTTCCTACCTTAAACAAGGCCCGCGAAAACGATCGAAACTTCGGCATCAGTGAGTCATCTAGTCGACCAAACTGTTTAAGTTGTACATGTTTCATGCGATTTTCGCTAAGATACCAATGCAAGAACCAAATATTCAACGGTTTGTTCTCTTGATTCATTGTAAAGACATCGAAACGTAAAACAAAGTTCGAAAGGTTTGACTAACATCCCAGGAGGTCACCGAAGTTGGAAAAGAAATGCGTCGACTGTTAGTATAACTTTTACATTACTGCCTTACTTTTTGTTTAACTAAACACACATTAAGAGAACAATCCGTTGATGATTTACGGACAGAGATTCAAAAACTATTTTAACAAAATTCTATATTTCAGGGCTCATGAAATTTATCAACTTCTGCATTCATCAGCTAAGTGAATGTTGGAGGTGTTTCTACTTATCAACTGAAACTACTAAAAAATTCAAAAATACCTACAAATTCAAATCGATTACAGTCCGGGTATAAAAGTGATCTCGATGAAATTTGAGGAGAATATGGTCTAGGATCCAAATTCAAATTTTAATACGTTACGACAAATCATCAGTGACTGCATAATCCTGGCGCACAATGCTTATATTTTTACAACAGAGTGGAAACACTTAAATGTACAGAAAGATACAAATATACCAACGCATACGGCTGCCATATCAGCTTTGGACGATGGCTACTGCAATCAGTTGACTCGAAATTGTTTGCGCGTAGATTTTTATGTACCATAAGAAACACTGTAAACCAAAGAACAGAAAGAGGGTCAACTTGACATGTAGAATTAAAACTTTAAGACTGGAAAGAATTTAAAAGCAGGTCAAATAGATTATTATCAAGGACGATAGTTCGATATAATCATTCAGATGCGCCTTCTAATTAACAGAAATTTTCTGCGTTGCAACGGCCGCTGTACTGTGAGTTATTCAATAATTGTGCTACAAAACATGCAGAATGGCATCAAAACAGTTACAACTCTGCCGGAGTAAACGACTGCCACTGTTTTGTTCATTCCTATCGCTTGCCGAGTTCAGAGACGTTAAACAGTGAGATGAGCAACTCACTAAGTACAATGAAAGCAGTACCTAACTGAAATATAAAATCATTTGTAGTGTCAAATACAGAATCATATCATGCATCCGTTTCCAGCCAATCATGATATCACACATGATAAACAACAGGAACGCAAACTTGAACTATAACTTCTTGAACTCATAGCGATACCATGCCATGAACTTGAATGAACCTAATACATTCTCTAAGTGAATGATCATCAGAGAAGTAAGAAAAAGAAAAAATTAAAAAAAACGACCGCTCCACTGTATTTTTCTACAGCGGCATCACCACACTATAAGAAGGGTGAAAAAGCACCGTGTTTTTCTTGAAAAGCAAATTCGAGTTGACTTCTGAATGCACCCTCTTCGAACCACCTTAGTGATGCTGTACCGCACCGACACATCGCCGGTTCTTAAATGCCCTGGAGCCGTGACCGGCTTAAATGTTCCGCTTGAGTGTCTAAAAGCAACGAGAGCGCAGTGTCGCTGAGTAACCCGATGTAATGAGTTGCATCGTCATTCACCTTTGAAAAATTGGTGTAAATCAGTGATATTTGATGAATTCCAAAATTTTTAAACAAGCTTGATTCCTAAGGTAGAATCTGGTGAAGAAACGCCATGCATCAAATTGCACGTAATAACTCTGATAGCATTTAAACTGGAAAAACCTGTCGATCGCAAAAGAAACTGAAGTAAACGAACATAGGAAAGCTATTAGTAGCCGCAAACAGCTAGTGGTATTACAATGATGCTACCGTGACAAGGGAACACATTGGAAACAAACGCATCAACATCAGTTCTGCTTGCTGTCTTCAACCACGCACATATGAACGGTAGATAACTTTCAAATAAACTTCTTATAATGTATTAAAACTTAGAGTTAAACAAATAGCTGTTACAAAACCATTTATGATTTTGTATTATATATTAAAATCAATCATGACTTAGAGCTGGCTTTTGATCCTCAACCATTTCCAGTAATTATATATAACCGACACTGTAACATTACTAGTGAATGTTAATGCGCAAGTGAAAAGTGGCGAACACTAACACTGGCTTAGAAGAAAATAAACTCTCGAAACCTTCGTCACAGGGATTGTGGTTAACAGAAATGGATCATTTAAATGTAGCAGTAAAGGAAAGAAAATTTTTCGAAATTGCCAAATGCCATAACACCAAACAACATTAGCTATTTCTGGCAAATTTAGAAACGTCAACTCGAAATACGACGACTTACCTTCAGGTCGCGATGAGCGATGCTGAGATGATGTAAAAAACGTACAGCCGAAGAGATTTCATACATGATAGCAGCCGCTTCTAGAATTTATCAAAGTCAAAAACATATTTCATCTATCATTGTTATCAACAATTTAGGTACCTCTTTCAGTAAACGCGTTTTGAGCTCGCTGCTGTATTCTACTGAACAGTTCTCCGCCTTCCATGCTATAGTGAAATAAACGGGTCAAAGACAGCTGTTTCATGGTAAAAAATGTGAAATTAATTGTTTAAGTAAAATGTCCTGCTAATAAAGGCCAGAAATAGTGCGAGAACGTGTTCCATTAGGCTGAAGCAGCAGTTTTTACAAATGGAAACCATTCACAAATGGCGTCTTTCCGGAAACGAAACCATATCAAGAATTCTACTAATCTGAATCCGTTAGGCTGGATGAATACTGAGCGGAAGTTGGCCATACTTACTCGTCAAAAAACGCTTAGAAATAAACAGAAAGCAGAAAAATGGGTGCAGGCAACCGATACAGAATGAATAATCCATATGACTCGGTAAACCACAGAATCCGATTGATAAACAGATAGCAAAAAAGTAAGGTCTTCGTGATCAGTCATTATGTAAAAATGCTAACGACAAACGGATTTATCAACATCTGCATTATGGAAAAGGGGAAATTCACAAAGGATATTATTGGAACATGCGAAACAGTACGATCTATCGAACTTGTTCAGTAATGGAATAATGGCGACCAAGTGTTCCTCTAGAAGGCGTTTAAGAACCCATCGTGAACCGGCTGCGTTCGACTGATAGTAAAACGAAAGGCTGCAGTATCAGTAGCGTACTGTAACATTGTATCGCTTAGCATAGCCCTTTTGTTTCTAAAGATGAACACAAAGAACAATCTGAACAAAGCTGCCAATGAATCTAGCCAATCAGCAAAAAGAAAACACCTATCAAGAAGTAATAAACACAGTAAAATTCAGATTGAATATTGCCGCACTTAGTGGAAATCGATGTTTTTAAAGTAATATTTTTCTACCACAAACCTCTTCGCTTGCAGATTACCATGACATGTGCTTACGTCATTTGCTACCAGGTTTACATTATTCTAAACCAAGTTTTTTTTCTCGATAGTTTCAATCTGCTTCCTCGCAAATTTTCTTCATCAGTTTTTTGTTGAAAATATTAATCTATGTCATAAGCTATCGATACGAAAAAGTAAATATCGTATCTGCACAATCTCTTGGTTAAATTAGTGCAGCTTCGTCAAAAGAAAAAACGGAATTTCGATAAATAGACGAAAATCAGCGGCGAGGAAAAGAACATAAAAATGTCAAACCACCTACGTAGCGTCGGATACGAAGGTGGTTGACAGGGGGTGTCATAAAAACTAATTTAAATTAACAGATATTAGTAATCCTTCGATTATCTGCGTAATGCGGAGGAAAATAGTCGGAACAGGTTTGAGACCAAACCAACTTTTAAAAGTTCAAGCTGTTGACTGGATAAAGCATTGTCCCTAACTCAGGAAGAGAAATGTCAGCGAGTAAAATGTAAATGTAGAACTTTCAGTTGATTCCTGGAAGACAGTAGTTATCGAGGCATTTGGAAGGCTGCAGACCAAAGGAGATTTTCAATACCGATGAGATAGCAATAATTTATAATCTTGTTCAACAAGAAATATCCGCTTAGTTGATCCAAGAATGAGAAAAAAGCACTTTTTATACTCTACAGTACGTTAATTCAGATGGCAGAGAAAACTGGCCACCTTTAGTGGTTGACAGACAACGAAACCATGATGCATTATAACGTTCATATGCTATAATGCGGGTACTCGCACCATGACTGACATTTTTAAAAGTCCTTCTGGTCAGTTAATGCAAATACGGATATTGCAAATTGAAACTTATCTATTCAGAGATATTCCAACGTGTCAGTGAGGCAGGACTTTGCTGCAAAATGTTAAGGTAGTATTTTCCTAGCAAATCTTAGGAGATATTTGCAGTCACTTCATTTTGGCATAATACTCTGCATTAAAATCAAGACAAGAAGCATTATCGCATCGTGACAATATAGTGCAAGTCGTGCAGAACAAGGGGGCTGAAATGCCATGGAGGCTCAGACTGCATAAATGTCCCCTTCCCCTCACGGTGTTTCAAAAAGCGAGTATGGTGCTAATTTGAGGTACAACCGAAATAATGGGCGTAATCACTTGTATGACACTTGCCATTCTCTGAGACGGTACTGGTACAAACCAACTATAATCGGCTTTAAATATAAAATCCTTAGTTCATTTAAGCATAATCGTTTCTGATCGAAATCTACAACTATTCAATTCCAATGTTAACCTCTAACTGACCTTATGTGTTCCAGCGGTTTTACAGTGTTGAAGAGAAATACGTAGTTGATGGTCGTCAACTCACTGATTTTCCCTCCGTCCACTCTACCATAACGGGAGACCGTGTTCATGTACAGTTTCCTCCTTGTAATGCGGGAGGCCGCTTTCTTTTTTGCTACTGCTCTCAAAGCTTCGACTTTCGCTTCCAGTCTTCCCTATTTCAACCACGTCTTATGCAGTGGCCATGTAATATGTAGCTGTATCGTGCAGCCATTACTTTAAATACTGACACCATCAACAACTGTATACCTTTGAGGGAAACCAGCTTCTATCTTACTCCATCTGCGACAGTAGCGCTACCTGTGAGACTACCAATTTTTTGATTTGCGCAAAGGTCATTACAGTGCAGTGGACGTGAGAAATGCTTTACATACTTATACCATTTTTCTCCGCATGTTTTTCGTAATTCATCCTCTGTCATCCAGCTGATAGGTGGTTTCGGAAACTGACTTCCAACGCAAAGCGATTACTACACTGGTAAGAAGGGAAACTCCGTAAGTGCGTTAATGAATGCCCAACTTTATTACAGTTAGCAGCAAGTGTGTACCTCCAGTTCATACGAATTACTTCCTCTTCTACTCCAAATCAAATATGATGGGGGGAGCAGGATTTAAGCAGAACCTTGTCCCACGATGTTTTAGCACCTGCAGTGAATGGAATTATCTTTCCTCGATTGTTTGGCTAGAACAATTTCAGGATTGTCACGAACCGGATTTCAGCAACCAGCATTTCTTAAACAAAAAACCTAACTTCGACATTCTGTCGACTAGGGGAGAGCATTGAAGCAGTCGACTACAGACTGGCTTCGCACTTACAAAAAGCGGTGGGTTCGAATTTCAAAATGAGCAAATTTTTCTTGTTATAACCAGTAATTCTGCTGAGCGACAGAGTTAGCAATTACAAGCTAACCTCGCTGCCATTTAGCAAAAAGTGGATAGCCAATGGTTGATCTGTGAACAATAGGAACGGCAAGGTGTTCTGGTAAGGATGACAGAGCGTGCCAGACTTTTGATCATGTTGTTTGATGCACAAACCTTACAACTACAATTCGCGTTAACTGGTGATAGCTGACTAACAATAAGGTAAATTTTAAACTTTTTTAAGTTCAACAGGTTAATAATTGTACACTATTTAGAGGTACACCATACCTCGTTTCATACGAGTAGAAGAAACCCCTTAGCTGTCGGTCAGGAAATTCATGAACTGCAGACAAACCGCTACAGGGACCTTGGATACTGAACTAAGAGCTCTAACATCACCTCATGAAAAGTTGTACAATTTTGAACGTTCTGTGTCATTCCGTATTCATATAGCCTCAGGAACAGACTGCTCGTCATGTGCTCGTGGCGACACTTGGTAAACCAATTTTCATGAGATTATTGTGTCACCTCATCAAGCAGATGGAACTTAGGCTTCGTCATTGCCAAAAAGAAAAAAACGCGATATCGAAGTGAGGCAAAACGTTTTCATAAGATCGATCATGCTTCAGCGATGAGCAAGGACTTCTGTAAGTTAGAAACAAAAGGGTGCATGCGGCAAGTAATGCCACAACTTTAAGCTTTCGCAATCATGTAAATTCGCCTAGAAAATTCTTCGATTATCGCCATCCATTTAATTTTTTACCAAGAACATTGAACAAAGGACAAATGTTGTTGTAACAATGGAAAAGCTATTCTACTTTCGTTCTGAAGTCACAGCTTTGTTCTTTATCCGACTGAAAGCAATAATCGGTAAACAAATGACTAACCTCAAGATGTAACAAAACTTACGCTAACGGGGCACTCCTTGTTTCATCTACTGAATGTGCCAGGTGGTTTCAATGACTGTGAAATAACTGTGAAAAATAACTCTAAATGACCCTGCTCCGCCTAAAAAAGGCGATAACTAGCGCACGAACGTATTTTGATGAGTATGAGGTAGCGCATAAGGAACAAAGAAACAATCCAACTGATACAGCGACGTTACTACCGGCCAGAAACCCATCACATATAGGTATACTCAGGCAATAGTCAGATCAACCTTGCAACTATGCAGAATTCAGAAGTAATGCCAAATATAAAATCGATATTACTTTCAGATACTCAAGGCAGGTAAATTAGACATTCGCAAATATAACCTGAACGAAACTGCTTACTTGTCAAAGAAAACGGAGCTACCAATGATTTCTACTTTTGTTAATGCCGTTTTCTTTCTCCAGATGCTAATAGTCAGTATTAGTTATTACTAACTACTGAACAGCCACTAAAGTTATAAAGTTCTGCCATTTTACCTTTTCCATTTCACGGCTTAAGGTGACAAGCTGCGAAGCAACCGCAGTTTCATAAAAGAAGACAAAACACACATGAAGGATGGACAAAAGAAAGGAAAATCTGTAATTATTCGAAGGTCGGTGTTCCTCATGCTTTCACCAAGGAACTATTTCTGCCACCCTTCCGTTTATGAAGTCATTGGTGGACCGCTGATTTTCACGTCCATATCATAAGCTAAAAGTGCCTTATTTAAAAGGCAGAGTCGATAGCAATCATATGATCAGGATAGAGTGGAGTCTCCAGTTTTCTTCGCACAGAGTGGTACTCATTTATTAACCTCGCAAAGAAGAAAGTGGAGTGACGAACTGGGTCTCGAACTTGTGAACTCCAAGCTTTGAGTCTGACGCTATACCGACTGAGCAGTAGTGGTCACGACACACGATATTCAGTGTTGACTAACAAAGCTTAACTAACTTTTACAAACCAGTAACAAACCTGTATAAGTTACGAACAGTTATTTACTATTAACAGATAAAAAATGCAAGAGTTAGATAGCTAGAAATAAATATGCATAGTCGAGCATACGGGTTATGAATCAAAAAGAATATTTTTCTAAAATTTCAACTGTTTTATTATATGTTATCTGCTAAAGATACTATGACGTCGTTAAGAACTGAATAATCACTTTCTAACATCAACTTTTTACTGAGTAATTTTAATGACTAGTCGTAATCTGGAGAATGAAACGTGTATGTTATTCTAACCGACACGTTTGTTGTAAACCAAAAATACAATGGACAATGGTGACGTAGATTCATGTTTCTGCTCTGTCGCCCGACCTGGGCGAAAGTACCGAAGGTACAAGAATACCACAGTGCCGTGATCAGTTTAAGGATCTATACACCTTTAGAAGCGAGGAAATGAGATAATCGACGCAGTGAACCATAAATCTGGAGAAGCGACACAAGTTCAGTTAGAGACATTTTAACAAAAGCAAATAACAGAACAAATCGTCAGTTTGTTGATCATAGTTCGAGCCCAGATAAAACAAAATACTAAAACACAATGTACCCCAAGAAAACAGAAAATTCTCCCCCGCTACGTAATCAATAAGGGAAAAGAATAGAAAATTTGCCTGAATTCGAAAATTAATTATTTTTTTCTGCAAGTTCCAGGAGGTACTAATTAAAGTACGATATATAGGGCGTCTTGCAAAAAATTTCCAAGTAGAATGACGCGCTGGTCTGAACTTAAATTTTAAAATAATTTACACAGCTGCATGCGTTTTCATGTATTAATTTGATTTATAGGTAACTGAAAGCGAGGTAACACTTTTTGCTAATTACTACACTGGATAATAAGCTATCAGATGGATTAAGACGAAATACAGTCACAAAGAGCGCTAGCACCGAAAAGTATGACCTCGTCCATTCGGCTATGATCAGACCGGAATACCACGGTGTCCCTAATATTAGCAAGTTGCCGACTTACCACCCATTAGTTACGCCTTATCAAAGTAAGATTAGCTCTTTGCTCAAGGGAATTTCGGATTAAGACAACGGTTGT